TATTTTATTTAATTTAAATTTGGTATTTTCTTAATACGCTAAATATGAAAAAGCTTCGATAAATAGTTAAGAAATTAAACTTATTGCTCTTGGCTGAATGCCGAATTCGAAAAAACAGTCCATGTTTAATCCACGATACCTTCATGCGATCTTGAAAAAATCAAGCACAGAGGCACTCAAGAGTGCAGCGCATGTAGTATTATCAGAAGTCCTTCGGAGGTTCACGCAGCGGAAAAAACGAGTAGGCGATGGAGTGGATAAGGCGCGCACGATCAGGTTTTCCGCTCTTTAAGCTTCGACCACTATCACCATCAAGTAAAATGGACGCTGCTGTTTATCTTGCAACCACTATTCGCCACACTCTTCTCAATCTGAGCCTATTTTTCTTTGGGTCGAAGCTACATCATCTCAAATTGTAGCTTAGAATGACAGACGCAGAAAGTAAATGTTTTCCTCTTTATAACATCAAGCTCTTTATAATAATTAAATTTCTCCTTCAAGGATTTACAGATCCTTCTTTCTATATTCGATCAATCATGAGTTATGAAAAATCGATAAAACTAGTTTTCACGAATGTTAATCAGTTTAACTGAGACGATGAATGCCTTGTTTATCAAATTGTTTGCAAATTTTCAGCTCTTTTGTTATACATCTTATTCCTGGTTTTGATGACGGAAGCATATTTGTTTTCTCAATCATATCGAAAACTACATAAAATTAAGATGTTGAAAATTATTCATTATTTCATCCGCACCAATAATTAATACTGTTTTTACATTGTTATTAAAAAAAAATCTAGCCGATCACTTTAAAATTGGTTCATGTCGAATTTTCTAAAAGCAAACACACTTAGCTATGCTCCAATACCGAAATAAATTACGCTGGAAACCAATGCCAAAATATTGCACTTTTCGAAATCCGTTCTATATTTCTTACCGTCGCTACCATTTACATAATTAAAATATTTTTCTCATTTTTTCCTGGCAAGCTTTTATGATGACGCTTGCCTACTAAAATTATAAAACAATCAAGCACGAAGCGTCGTGACAGCTATTCATACGCATTTCCAAAGCAAATTTCATTGTTGAAAGAAAAATGTTTCTTTATCCATGCATAGCCGTGGCAAATATCGGCAACGTATGAATTTGCCTTTCCAATCCCAACAAAAGACTTAGGATTTTTACGTAACCAAAGTTTGTCAAAACAATGAAAAATCAACAAGAAAGAAGTGAAAAATAATAAGAGCAGGATCGAGAGAAAAAGACAGAGACAAACAGGCGCGGCGAGTCGTTCGTGCGTATAAAGGTTATTGAAAAGGAAGAGAGTCGCGAGCGCAGTAACGACACAAGGAAAGACAAGAAAAGAATGGAGAAATAACGATTGTTATTGCTAATGCTATCACGCGTACATACGTATGGATGCAAGCGCACTCATACATTTATTCGCCGTGCGCCGCCTTGGACGACAGGCTCTTCTTCTCTTTGTCTCTACTGTCATCCGATAAATTTTACGACGGGATGCACTCGCTCGCGCGCACACTTTATCTTCGCGACTTTCGAAAGATCAGTAGTCGAGACTCTATCGCGGTGTCGATTGTTATTTTATTTTACTTTATATTATGTTCTTGTTTTATTTAACTTTTTTCTTTTGGCTTTTATTGGCCAAGCATTGCACGAACAGGACAATGATGCTACAAACAAGTACACAAGAGGATTATACATAAAAATATTGTGCCGGAATGAGGCTGTTATAAAGTTCGTAAATTTACATGCACGCATGCGTACATGTTCTATTAAATTATGCCTAACCGGTATCTTACTCTTTTCTATTTTACGCGTAAGTACTTGCTGTGCGAATTCATTAAAGTCAAGCAAATATTTTTTATAGCATTTATATTTAGTGTAGATAGGTAGAAACTTATTTTACATTTCACATTATTTTTTACTCTCTGATCGATTATTCAATTTTAAAAAATCAAACTTAAGTACATGAAAGATATAGCAATTTAATCGTTATCTACTTTGTTTGTATAAATATTTTGTCGCTAGCTTCATTATTAAGTAAAATTTTTTGCGCAGTATAGAACAAAAAAATATTTATCGCAAAATCATCGAAAATTGTGATAACGATTCACTTTAGCACTGCTTCAGAAATTATTAAATATTTTTAGGTGAAACCCCTATATATATATATATATATATATATATATATGATAAACATTTTTTTTTTCTAATTGAAACGAAGACAAATTTTTCATTCATGTTTTATTGTACAATAGGGAATATAAGGAATTGATGGGATTTATGTAATAATAATTGTCAAATATCACTATTGGCCTATTACACCTAATATACATTCCTCTTTTTTTCTAGTGAAATTGTATGCTTATACTTCATTTTAATGATAATATAATTTTTATGCTTTAGATTTCGTATAATATAAATAATATGAAAATTTCTCGTATAGATTCTTCAAGTCGCCTATTGAATAACATGTTCAAGCACTTATTCTCAATTGTTATCATTGCATGTTTACGTCCAATATCTCATAACGTGAAAATTATATTCTTAATTAATGTTTATATCATTAACATAAATAAATGATATTATAATAATTATAAAATTAACAAGCACTGGTCACGTAGCATTCCATTGTACATGAACAATCTAGTGATTTGAAAATTTTAAAAAATATATGAAAATTAATTTAACTTTATAAAAAAAAAAATTTGCTTGTAATCATTTAAATTCAGAAAAATATGCTGTATATAAGTAATTGAAACTCTATTGTAAAATCTACAAAAGTACTCTATTAACCCTGAGCTCAATAAAATCCATTAAAGCTGACCCTTGTTAGATTTACAAAGGTACTCTAACAGCTCAGTTATAATTTAGTTTCTATTAGACTTACATAACTGAGTTTAAAAGAGTACTGGAACAGCCTCTACTCTTATTCTACCTTCTATTTTTATTCTTTACCTCACCGTATATAAAACATCTATCTGCTATAAATGTATTTAAAATATTATATATATATATATATATATATATATATATATATATATATTTACAAATGTCCGTGTATAGCATATAAAAGCCATATACATTTATAAATTTCAATTCATTTAGCAATTTATTTTGCATTTAAAATTATTTGAATAACTTCCATATCAATATTTTTATCATGATAATATTTCATTATGCTAGTATTCTCTCTAGTTCTTATTTACAATAAGTAAAACAGCTATTAAAAATTATATTATTAATAGATTAATTTATAGACTAAATTTATTTTTTAAACTCTGTGATTGTTTATTTAATAATATCATATTTACTTATATTACAAAAATTAATAATTTTAACAGAAAAAATGTCATTTTTTTCTTTGCTTTTTATTTCTTAATTCTATTAGTTAATCATGAATTTGAAATATGTAGTTGATTTAATACTTCAAAAGAAATATTTACAATTTCCATAAAAGTTTTATTATTGTTTTATTTCAATAAATTAAGTTTCTGTAATAAATTTACGGAAATTGATGAGAACAATAACTCCTCGAATAATGCAATATTTTAATATTATCATAGGAACAAAATATCTTTCAGTATTATAACGGATATCTAAACAATATCATAGACTTAGCAATATAAAAAATTAAATTGCATAACATTTAATATGATTTTTTTAATATTATAGATAAATATTAATTCTTCCATAAAACAACGATTATTGATGAAATATTATTAATTTATTTATTAATAGCACAATTTTTTGAACCAATGACATTTATTATTCTTTATTGAATATCTAAATTACTCGATTACAATTAGATATTGTTACCAAAATTGAATTTCTAATAAAGTATATTTATTTAGAAACTTGAACTTACTTGGACGAAGCATTTTTCTAAAATAATATTCTGCTGTAATTAATTTGAAAATATAACTTTCTCTAATAGTTGAAAAATAACAATGTCAGTTATCATTGCAATATAAATATAACAGGGAATACTTTTGCAATAAAAAGGTATATATAATTGAGTTATATCGAAATATTTAAAATTTCTTGTTGTAAAATATGATGAATAAGAATATCTAGAACATTGAAATAATTTTAGCTTCAGATATTATATAAAAGTTTTACAGTTTATTTAAACGTGTGTTTCTCTATCTCTTTCTTTTTTTCTGTTTATTTATATAACTAATTTTCCAATATCGTATAGTTGTAATCCAATTGCCAACTACATGATTGTTGAAATGTTTGTTCTTTAAGGTAGTTAATATTTTATTTATAATTATATCATTCGGATAAGATTTAAGTTAAAAGAATCTATAAATTGTCTGAAGTGTAATGTAAAATTAATTACAAAAATATTGTTTTTCTAAGTGTTCTGCTTCACCCAAATCGAACAATTACCAAATTCATTGAATTTTATATGGATACTTATAAAAACAAATAATTATACAATCAAAGAAAGTGCAATAGATTTATAGTTTGGAAATATTTATTATATAATACATTCACATTAACATAGGAAATCCATATTAACAAATGCTTTACTACATTGCAATCAAAAGTTTTATGAATTGGTACAATAATTTCATATTTAATAAGCTTGTGAATTAAAGTGAAAAAGGGGAAGAAATTCTGTAAAAGAAGAAGGAAATTTTGAGCTGAGTATGTTATTAATAAAATCATATCTTATATCCATCAGTTTTCGCATTCTCATACATGTTCGTTAAAAATACAAATACTCAAGAAAGATAACCGCATTGGGCTCGAAGCACTTGACAATTGAACTTGAAAATCAGACAGGCCGCAGATATGGCTTTGACACAAAAGTGAAAAGTCCATTGAAAGCGATAGCGTAGCCCGTATCTAATCTTATAGCGCGAGCCCCACGTCTTGTTATAGTTTACAATTCGAATTTCAGATTGCCTGGCTCACTTGGCTGTGGACCAACGTCCTTGCAATTTATGGAAGAGATTAGTAGAAGCTTACCTGGGAGCATTGATGATCGGCCGTCCCATTGCCCGCTGCTGGCGCTTCTCGTTACTGGGAAGGCGCAGGTAGTCTTGGTCGCCGAGGAGGAACAGATCCTTTGAAATAATCATGTCCACAACGCGTAGCTGACTTGGCCGCTCCCAAGCGACACACCCGTCTCTCTCTCTCTCTCTCTCTCTCTCTCACTC